CGAAACTGATGCCTCTGAAGAAAGAGGAGATTGACTGGAGCCTGGCTATGAACAGTTATCTCATTGACAGCACCATCTGGGCTCTGGCAAGGGCCTTAAATTCAGCTTATAAAAACACACACAAGAGATCAGCAAGGATCAGAGAGAATGGGAATGAAAATGAGCGGAATTAAATTACATTGGGTTTAAGTTACAGGATAATTTAATTTTTCAGAAGAAGTAACCAAGTTATCACCTTATGAAACTGATTCTAATTGGCAGTGGAAGTATGTTTCATAGAAAATAAATACCTGCCAAGCATTCAGCTTTGGAGCTTCCATCTTCATAACTCTGCCCCTTGCTGATCTCTTGTGTGTGTTTTTATAAGCTGAATTTAAGGCCCTTGCCAGAGCCCAGATGATGCTGTCAATGAGATAACTGTTCATAGCCAGGCTCCAGTCAATCTCCTCTTTCTTCAGAGGCATCAGTTCTTCTCTCTGTCTGCATCTTCTCCAGACTTTCACTGAAATATCATCCTTAGTGGATGAACATGTAAAGGTTTTCTCTACAAAAGTATGTAAGGCTGTATAAAATGATTAAATGCATCACATTTTGCCCATTTCCATTTTTGTATCAGAAATGAAAAAATGGTCCCAATGTATTTAGAGGAAATTAAACTATGCATGAATTCAAGACTGAGATCCCATTGAGCTGTGGTAATCCAGACCTTTTCAATAATAGGTCCCTGAATTTGTTGAAGTAGTGCTTGTACAATCTTGATTCCTAACTGGAACGAACTAGTCTCTGAACCATAAACACAGACATTGATTTTTCTCCACTTGTAATACACTTTGAATTTTGAAATCAGCTGATATGGACTCAGTGAAAAACGTGGATATTGAATTGCAAAAATGCCATCCCTTAACATCAAAGAAGACATTGTCCTCATGAACCTCTCCCCCTGGTCACTGTCGGGAGCAACCAAAGCAACAAAGGTCCACCTGAAATGGAGGAGCAGCTTGACCATTCCTGGATACTGGAATCCTTCAGCCGGGAGCATTGGGTTGAAGAAAGGAAACTGAGTTTTATCTCTCAGGATCTTAGAAGCAAAACTATGACTGATCTGAAAGGAATGGGAGATGGTGGATTTTATTTTTAATTAGTGCTGATAACATGGAGTTACCCAGGTATTTATTTATAGGGGGAAATATCCAGACCAAACATAACTTCTAATGTTGGATTTTCCCCCTTACCAGAGGGAGAAACCTTTACCATAGCAACTCCACTGCGCTGCACTGTAGAATCCATTTTATGGCAGTGCAGTAGAAGCCATTTGAAGGCACAACATATGTACGAAGGTATCGTAACAGAACACATATGTTTAGGGGTGTTAGGCATGTCTTACCCCCACAATATTTGTTTCCAGAGAGTAAGTCATCTGTGTACCAAGTTTGGTTGACATTGCTCAAGGCATTCCAGAGTTATGGTGGAATGTGTGTGCGTGCATGCACGCACGCACACACACACACACATACACACACACACACACGCAGGCATGATATATATGAAAAATGTCTCCCCAAGAAAGGGACACACCTGTGGGATTTTGTAGGTGCCCAACATGGTTGATATATGGATGGAGATGCCAGTCTCAGCCTCTT